CGAGGAGGCAGAGTATATCCACGCATTCAATGACAACTCCCATGGGTAGCCTGGGTAGCAAAGTGAATGAATCATGTGAGTGATGAACCAGTTCACTCCTTAGAGACATGTCGCCTGCGAGAGGAGTGGGGCGAGGATGAGCGGCAGACCTTCAAACAGCAGAAGAAGGTGGCTGGCAAATCTTTGCCATGCTTGCATGCCGTCGTGCGCTGCTGCTTGGTTTTCCCTTGTGTGCATGGCCCGTTTGACCGTCATACGTCATACGTCTCCTTGCCAGTATCAAACCTGACAGGAAGAGCGATGGCTCCGACTTCAAGGCTTCGTCGTGTTGAGTCTCTTCCTGGTCTTCCAGATCCTGTTAGTGCTTCGCCTGGAGGACGTTGCATCCGCAGCTGCGGCTTTGCGGTTGTGATCCCCAAACATCATCCCCAAAAACACTGGTCAAATTGCGGCGTTCTTGCACAGAAGAGTCTGCAGCAGGTCACGCTCCGGAGTGCAACTTGTGCCCCTTAGATGTGACAACTTCCACTGCTCGCAGCAGGACAACATCCACGCCTCCTGGTTCCTGGTGCAGCTTGGACGCACAACTCCCACTGTTGATTTTGCAGGGTGAAGATCAAGCAGGATTTTAGGAACAACCGGGCGGATCTAGGCTACCGGAACACATGACCCAGCGTCCAACCGCCCCAAAGCTTGTTGGAGGGAACCAAACAACATCATTTGTGCACTGGAGTGGCCAGCCTCAGGACTTTGCCCTGGAACCTCTTGGAGGCCAGCCATCCCGAAGTTGCTTCTGAAGCTTTCTTTGGCAAGCTTTGTGCAGCACGGTGCCAGGTATGGTGGCTGGTGCTGAAGGTGAAGTTTTCTCCCATCAAGTGGGCAATGACTGATCCTATGGCGGCGGCTGAGGCACAGTATGCCGGCACTGCCCCCCTGCAGCACTACGACACATCATGAAACTGGTAGCCTCTGGCCGGTATCACGCTGAGTACTGTTGCATCGGTAATCGCATGGACAGCTGCTTGCTACATCGTTCTGCTTGAAGAAGCATAAAGAGCAGAAGAGAGTGCAGCTCGAAGGTGTGGAAGTCCTTGAAGTTCTGGTGCTTCCTGATTAGTGGCTTTGCTGCACATGTACCGCTCCAATGTCAGGCCCAGGACTGTTGCCGCGCAAGGTCTCAACTCTTTCAGAGCACCCTTTCTGGATGCATCCACTGACCCTTCATGTCCCTACCAAGGCTTCGTGCAACTGGGTGTTATGCGGCTTGTCGCGGGTGCCCCAGGATTCCCTTGATTCTTGCGTGGGAAGCGATCGCCGAACCCCCAAACTGGAGGGCTCAAGCATTTGGTTTGTGCACGTGGCGCAGCGGAGGATATGTAGGCCTATTGGCTTTCGCCACCTCACCATCCCAACCATTGGACACACATTCATTCGTCGGAAGTCAGGCTGTTCTGCTGCTTGCGGAATGTGCAGACTCTGGCAGCCTGTCTTGGCGACTTGGCTGCTTAGGGACACGTCACGCGGTGCCCTACGCCCCGTGTGCACAGAACAGGGACAGGCAGGCAGGCATGCGGCAACAAGACATTGCTTGCCAGTTCATCCGATCCACTTCTAACAACTCTGTATCAAGAAAGGCAGAGCCGCCCTGAACAAAAAGACAAGCACAAACCCGAGCAACCCTGCACAGAAACCCCGCTGAGGTGGCTCGTGCCGGTGCCGCTGTACCTGTCTGCCGCCTTCAGCATCTTTAAATCAGCACTGGAGGCTTGCTTGATCAGTGATGTCTTAACCTGGTACCTCAGGTGTTTTAAGGACCTGAACCCAAGTCTGGAGACCTCAAGCCCTCAGAAGACCGTTGGAGCACAAGCTTCAAGCCCGGAGCCCTTCAGGGCTATGAAGCCCAAACAATCTCTGCTTCACCTCGGCCCAGAAGCCAAGGAAGCTTTTGGCCCCTCAGCTCAACCCGGCTCAGGCCGCTTCAGGAAATCCTCTGAGTTCGTAGGCACTGCGAAAGAGTAGGATGTGTTTGTCCGTGGCTCTTTCAGAAAGTAAGACCAGAACTCTGCTCCATCCCGGTAGGTGCTGCAATGGCAGCCACATGCCTGACCGTCATTGCCTGGATGGCCATGCTGCTTTTGGCCATCGGCAAACTTGATGGATCCTGAGCTGCAGGAGTGCTGGACAGCTTTGCAAAGTAAATGAACGGGTCTGCAACATGGAACGATATCAGCTTGTCTACATGAGGTGGCAACTACTCCGCTGGCTTGGTGTTCTCGCCGGTATTTTTCGTGTTCAGTTTGGCCGCAGAGCTGCATGGATGCGTAGTGTTAGCACGGGGTGCCGACGTAGGAGCATGTGAGCACAGCCGAGCGACTTTGCAGAACCTGTTGGCTTTTCAGGCAACTTGCGTTGTCAGCGCATTGGTCGGATGCTGGCCACGTGACCACTTGGAACACATGGCTTCAATGGGTGAGCCCATTGGACGCTCCGCAGAGACGGAGTGAAGCTGCGTCGATTCGGGTGTCGCACTGTGTTGCCTGCGACAGGCCTGGTAGTCAAGTTATCGGCAGCCTTTGTGGAGGTTAAGGTTTTTCTTGTCAGGTGGCTACGCTTGCTTTCGTAGGTGGGCATCTAAACAGCGGCTTCTGTTGATGTTAGCACTGGCTTTTCCAGGTGTTCTGCGCGCGTGCACATGCTGGTAAAGCATGCGTACTACTTCTGTAGCAAGTATGGACTGGGTGGAGGTGCAGGTACATGCGCGCAGGACCACTGGAGATGTCAGAACATGTAGATAGGCACGACAAAGCGGTGTACAGACGGCGGATACTTGCTGGCATGTCCAGCAGACGCACAATGAAATTATGTCTTATGTTCAGTGGTAGTAGGCTAGGTGCCCGTGCCTCCTCACAATCTGAGCGATGGTGAGCATGGCGGCTTGGCAGGGGTAGTCCCTGTAGGGCGTCATGAGGGTCCACTTAGTCTGCCATTGGTGTGGAAGTGTATGCCCACTTGTTGGCCGTACATGCAAAGCATGGCGGTGTGACTTGTGTGCAGCTGCAGCATCCAGCATAAAGACTCTCGGGCGGCGCCAGGTTGTCTTCCATGCACCTCTGAGGGGTCAGCACATGTGCTGGTCAGACTGTGTGGGACTGTCGTGTTTCAGCACATCTTGGCTTGGGGGGGAATCGACCGCATTTTCTTAGCACCATGGCCCCAAGCAGCATGATGTCAGCGGCAGCCCTGGCGGCCTGCGCGGCCCCAGCTCTGGCTTTTGTGCCAGCCGGCCAAAGCCTTAGGGGCACCAGCCCCAGCGACGCAGTCGAGACCACAGCCCAAACCCCATCTCGTTCGGGCATCTCCACCTCCACTGCTACCGGCTTTGCCGCCGTTGCTGTGGCTGGTGCCACAGCACTTGTCAGGCCCGCCCAGCGCCGGGTGGAGCGCAAGGTCGTAGGGGTGTGCATGCCCTTGACCGAGAAGTTTGACCCGCTGAACCTGGGCAACACCGACGCCAAGATGGAGCGGTACACGGCCGTGGAAATCAAGCACGGCAGAGTTTCCATGATTGCGGTAGTGGGGTACATCATGCCCGAGATCTTCCGCTTCCCAGGTTGCGAAGAGTTCAAGCACGGCCTCGGCGCGTTGGAGAGCATTCCCGTGGAAGGCTGGGTGCAACTTTTCGCATTGGTGGGTGCCCATGAGGTCCTCGTGAAGCCGCGCGAGGGTGGCTTGGGCAGCTTCGATTTTGGCAACGGCACGGAGCTCCTCGACGGCCTTGACGACGAGGAGCTGGAGCGCAGGTTGACCTCCGAGCGAAACAACGGCCGCCTGGCCATGGTCGCCATTTTGGGCCTCATGTGGCAGGATGGAACCTTCGGCCAACCTCCTCTGAGCTACATGAACCAGAACGGATTCTGGGGTGAGCCCGTGCAGTTCATCGTGCAAAACATTGGCCTTTGCAGGCAGCCAAACCTCTGCGCTCTTCCTCGAGGTCACACCGGTCGCACCACCATGCATGCCATCCAGAAGCTGGCCGAGGGAGACTACGTTGAGCTGGAGACCTACCCCAAGGAGATGGAGATGTCTCCCTCCGTGCCCTTCCTGAGGTATCCTCAGGTCCTGAAAGGCTGGGTCGGTGACAAGGGCTTCGACCCGCTCGGTGTGACCGATGCGCTTCCCGTCTACTGGGTGCGCGAGGCTGAGCTGAAGCATGGACGGATTTGCATGCTCGCGACCGTTGGATGGATTGCAACAGACCTGGGCATCCGATTCCCGGGTGACAAGTTTCAGAGCGTGGCCAACAGCATCGAGGCCCACGACAAGATGGTCGAGGCCGGCTACATGCTGCCATTCTTGGGTGCCGTTGGTGTCTTCGAGTTGTTCTCCTTGTGGCTGTTCTTCCAGTCCTGGCCACTTGGGGATGGAATCAACCGCGACGCAGGTGACTACTGGCTCGGCAAGCAGTTCCTGCCCCTCGAGTGTTCTTGAGTATTTAACCGAGGAGTGTCGGTTTAGGGGGGGGCGCATCTGCTGGGTTTTCTCTCAATGATAAAGGAATGATAAAGGACGGACCTTGTGCAACGGGTATGGGGAACCAAGGCCCAAGGATCCTGCCAAGGAGGCGGACATGCGCCTGAAGGAGCTGGAGAACGGGCGCCTGGCGATGTTCGCTTTCAGTGGCATCGTCACCCAGGCCGTGATCACCGGCAAGCCTTGGCCGTTCATGTGAGGTTTCTAGAGTCCTAGAGTCTTTTTCAAAGCTTCGAAAAGCGAACGGACTGGGAAGCAGGCTCCGACACTCCGAGAGATCCGGCGCTCGTGGCGAAAAGCCTTGGGGAGGGGGGGGCACTCTCACGAGCGCTGCATGCCGCACGACAATCCTGCCCGCGCCTGTGTATGGCAGGGGCACTTGACAACCTTAGGAACATTTAGGAACTCCTTGTAAGCATGCTTCCAAAGAGGCAAAGCATGAATGTCTTGTGGAGCAGCAATGTCTCGAGGTCCACGCCCTGGCAAGACTCAATGTACGGTACCAGCCTCAGAATGTCTCAGGATTCAAATTCTGGCAAGGCTACACATATGTGGCACTGCGATCACTGAACGTGGATGAGGTCCTGAAAGTGGCTGTCTCCTATGTCACAGGGTTACCTTGTGAATATGCCCGAAATTGCCCGAATCGACTTCCAGTAGCCGAAGCAGACATAGGGGAACCGAGGAGCAAGAGTGCAGACTCGCCGATACTCCTCGCGGCCATCAAGTCACTCAGCTGCGCACAGCAGGGGGAGGGCGCCCTCTGTTGTGGAAGCTTCCGACTCAAAGCTTGCCCCTTTAAGTGCCTAAACCCGCAGCCCTGCAGACCGAGCCCTGGTTGCATACGTGCAAAGACCTAGAGCACCCACAGCCATTTCGACTTTGTCTCTGCCGTGCAGAGACGGGCGTGGACTTCAAAGAATGACTGATGCATTCGAGGAGGCCACTCGGCTGGGTCTCGCAGGTGATGCTGCAGGGCTATTGCAGCTTCTTGCCGAGGATGGTTTTGGGCACCCATGCCATTCATGCTCGCTGTGCACTGCTGTTTTGTTCTTTCAGCAAAGTTGCGAGTGTCCAATCAGAACCTCGCCCTGCAGGAAAGACAGGTTCTGGATCAGAGAAAGGAGGATGGCAAGAGTTTGCTCTACATCCTGTGTGCTGCATGCACCGAGGACGGTGCCATTCCACCTCGCCGCGGCACGCCGGAGCAACTGAACGTGGTGACTGCGTTGCTAGACGCACGCGCAGACCCCACGACAGCCACCGAAACAGGCATGACACCATTGCATATGGCTGTGATGGGCAACCACGTGGAATTGGCGCGATCGCTGCTTGATGCCCGTGCTGACAGCATGACAGGGAAGCTAATGGATGGCCAAGAGGACGACTCGGGCAGTCCTTTGGCATTGGCTCTTTTCTATGCGAAGACAAAGATTTCCCCGGAAGTCGTTGCACTGCTCGAGCCCGAGCATCCTGGCGAGAAGTGCTTCAATCTCAGAACTGCAGCCGCCTTAGGAAAGCCTTTAGACAGCTTCTTCGTGCGTGACGGTGAGCGCCGGCTTTCTGCTCATGCCCTCCAGCAACTGGGGTTCTACCGGCCTTTTCCAGGCTTCCCTACATGGCCTGACCGCTTGGAATGGGTAGCCAAGCAGCGTGGTCCCGAACCCACAGACGTCACTCCTGCTGTGGAGCAGGACGTGCTCGACGAAGCCTTGTCCTGGGCCTCAAGGAACAATCAAGTGCAATCCATGGCAGATCTTTGCGATGCTGGGGCCGACATCAACAGCAATGCTTTCCGTGGCACCCCGCTGCTGTGGGCAATCTACAGCGACAGCCATGAGGCTGCAGCGTGGCTTCTGAAAAGTCGAGCTGACCCAGACCTTCGGCATGATTTCGGTGGTGCCGAGCATGGCAAAGGAGCTGTGGCAATGCATCTGGCTGCGCAATACAGCAGCCTGCGATGCTTGCGCCTTCTGTTGGAAATGGGTGCTGACGCGACAATCAAGGATGCTACACACGGCGGTACGCCAGTGGGCTGGGCACAATTCTTGAATGCCCGTGACAGCTTGGAGGTGCTGGCCGAGTATGGCCACAAGCCTGCAGAGGACGCGACTGAGGAAGCTGCCAACGCGTCAGAAGGAGCACCGCCGTAGGCACTCATCATGACCACGCAAAGCGGGTGTGCTTAGCGCTCAAGATGCGAGAGTCCTCAGCATTAGACACGCAGTTGCTTGGTCTCTCCAAAGATTTGTAGGGATTCCTTGCTCAATCATCGCTGGCCTGTTAAGCCACACGACTCTTGTTGGCGATGCCGAGTTGCAATTATCCGAACTTGAATGATTAATGAGGGGCGGCGAGTCCTGCCCGATCGCCAATCGAGTCAACCCTGGAATTTTTGACCAGCAAATGTGGGCAGCACTGGCAATCCACATAGGCTCAGGTTGACGAGTGAAAAGCCGCGGCTGTGCACTTCTGTACAGAGCATAGCAAAGGCCGCGATACTGCCCGGTTGCAGGAGATCCGAGAGAAAAGTGATGAACCATGAGCAGCATGATCAGCACGGAGTTTGAAAGACGCATGTCGATATCATGTCGACTGAGGCGTGAGCGCAGGTCGCACCCGCGCGTTTTGCATGCTGATACATGCAGAGCCGACTAGACTGCAGCTGGGATTTGCTAGAATCGGCTTGGGCTTCCGACCTTGAGCTCGTACACATTCGCAGGTCTTGTGCGAGTTAAGCATATTCCGTCATGAGTTCGGCTTCCAGGTCCCTTCGCAACCGTGAAGAGGTGTTGGACTGGCTGAGAGAGTCAGCATCCAAGCGCAGGCCGGGCGGCTCAGCTCTGACTATAGCGAGGGAGGGTTTAGGGTTTAGGGTTTCGGGTTTAGTCCTTGTCGGAAAAAATGGGTTTTGGGTATAGTGCTTGCTCACCTCCAGGGCCTCCACAGCTTTGTGTACAGCTAGTTGTTGTTTGCAGGCTGGGCTTTGCCGAGTTGGACTTTGCCGGACAGACCCTTGCAGACCAGGCAGGCCTGCCACTTTGAGCGCTGTGAGATGTTGCTGTGATGGTTTTTCTTTTCAAGTCATTATGGGTAACATAAGCTTCCCTTTCAGGTCAGGTCTGAAATCTGTGAGGCTTCAAGCCACCTAGGTCTTGAATACCTCGTGTTGAGACAAAGCAAAGCACCAAAAGCAGCAGAGGAGTGCTCCTCTTCGGCCCAAGACATGGTTTCAAAGCCGCAAGCCCCTCGAAGCATCCTCTAAGGTCCAAGCCCAAAGACTCCGAACGTCTTTGTTGCAAGTAGGCTTCTCAGGTCCCAAGTTGCCAGAATTCGGGACTACGGCCAGGCGCGTCTACTTGCCTCGACAGCCCTCTTCGTAGCCTCCATGGGCGCGACACTGCTCGCCGCAGCCCTGTATTCTAGCGAGGTTTTCGGCTTTGTGCGGTGCGAGGTTCGGGACTTTTGAGGGTGTCATCATGCGGTAGACTCTGTAGACGATGCACCCAGCTGAGCTGGCCACGAACATTGCACGTCCCAAACGGTGTGAAGGCTTCAGAAGGGCATGTGCAGGCACTTGGAGGGTAGAGCCGGACCATTACTCCAGCCCTTCGCTGATGTAGCTTTGAAGAACAGGAGCACAGCCTCCAAGCAACCAGGTTTTTTGCACCATGTCTTGCAACATGTAGCATAACACCCTGTCAGATGTTCGACGAGGGCCATGCTTTTAGTGTTTGGCGATCGGGTTGGGTCAAAGCTTTGGCTGTGTGGTTCCAATGGGACCTGCGCAGACACGGCAGCAGCGGGCTCACTCACAGTAAATTCTGCGCATCAGCGGTGTTCTAGCTGAACCAAGCTGTAGCTCCTAGAAAACCGGCATTCCAC